AGCTCTGTCAGGAGAGGGTGATTTTGTAGGATTTTCCCTTTGAAACATTTTGTTAAAAGGTTGAGTGATATCCTTTTCAGAGGACCATTAATCTCAATTTTATTTATTACTGCATTCCGAAGCAGCGCCGTCTAGTGAGCTTTCGTAGCTCCGGCTTGAATAATTTTTCGGCAGAGGCCTACTAACCATCGCTTGTTCAACACGTCGCGTCTTTAGCGCATCTCGCGCCCTGCGCGGTACCACCAGTCCTAACGTCCAAGAATGAGAAAGGTAATTTCCCCGTCTTCTAAAGGTATAACACAACTTTCAATTAACCTAATTCCTGCATGTCTTTCTCTTTGTAAATATCCCCTTTTGTAAATATTTCCCTTTAACTTTAAATAAATTCTTTTTTACTTAAATGAAGTATCTGTGTTTAAATGACTTTGATTCACACACACAATTAATTCATCACTCACCCTTAAATACTTACCCCTAGACAACCCACCTCGCCAATATAAAATCCCGCCTTCTGAAGAGTCTGATTTTTATTCGAAGATTTATTCGGACTCCCATATATATATATATATATATATATATATATATATATATATATATATATATATATATATATATATATATATCTGATTCTTATATAATTCTATTTTTGAGTTTCACCATAGTTAAATGAAATGGAAAATTGATCACTTTAAGGTCCTCTCCATTCCCCCTTAAGAAAAAATATACTGACTTAGTAAGTCTAAGGAGGAGGGAAAATACAATAAAATTATTTTAAAAATAACTTGTGCGATTTTTTTTAAATCATTGTTATAAAATTTTAATATGCCTATCCAATTTTTTAGTAAGAATAATTAAATGATATGTTGCATATCTAAATATTCATTGTTCATGGAATTTTATTCAGTGTTTATGGTTTTCCTTTTATTAATTTGAAACCAGTATTTAAATATGTATATGGCTATGTTCTTGTTGAAAAATCTGTGCAAAAAGTGTCTTCCTTAATTTACAAATTAGGAAGAATTTTTGCCATATTTTAAATGAAAAGTTGTTGCCAAATGTTTAAATCTCAGTGCGTCAAAATTTTATTTTGTTACTTTTATGTTTTGCTCATGACGGCATTTTTCTTGTTAATAATTGTTTTTATCTTTTAAGTAGATTAAAAAGTTGCTGTAAAAATGGTAATTTTGCATGTTATTGATAATTAGTTTGATGCTTTTATTATATTTATAATGTTTTATAGTTAAAAGCTTTAAAATGTTTCAAAATATACATCTGTATAGGATCTAGTTTAAATAATCCTGTAAAAATCCGAAAATTGCTGTAGTAAATTTGTAACATTATAGGATAATAAACAATGTTTAGCTTTTATGTGTAGATTATTTTGTGAAACATATAATATATTTATTATTGTGTACACATTAAAACTTATAACATTTAAACTGTTCATGGTTCTATATATTTTTTGCAGGAATTATTTCTCGTTAAAAAGATGTAAAATTGGGAAGAATGGAAATTTTTCGTCACAAAAATGTGTGAAAAATTCTTCATGTTAATCATTAAGTGTTAATGAGGTGAAAGTACAGAGTAATATCTTTATTGAATGCATCCTTTGATTTGAAATTATAATTCTCATGATTTGGTTTTATCACAGATTAGTCTTGTTGATTAATGACTTTTGCACTTTAAATTTGGATAATGATTCAGAATTCACTTACTTTTCAAATTATTGCATGAGATATAAGAATCTGAACAGTGTTTGAAATAACATAATTAAATTGAGCAAAAGTTGAAATGCACTGTGTAACGGTCTCTTACGTCATTACTGGGTAAACCAAAATAATGGACAAGATCTCGGGATAATTAAAATATTTTAGTGACATAAAATAACACAGTTACAATGGACAGACACTTAGACACAATACAGGGTAAACATTTAGAGGAAATAAGTGAAAATTAGAGAAGTTACATAGTCCAGGATTGGACAGCGAAACGGGTAACGATAACTCTTTCAATTCCCAACTCTCTCTGACGTAACACATCCGTTACAAGTACCGCCATCTACATTTCGGTCTTAGAATTAAACCGCGTGTTACAGCTGTAATTTAAGTTTTTAAAAAATATTCCTTCCATGTTTTTATCAATGTAACCTTTGTTTTGAAGCCATTTTTATTTAATTTGTTTTTTGATGTTCAAGATTATTGGTAACAGATCTGAACTAATGGTTCGTGCATTATATTCTAAAGAAGAAATGGTTTGAAGAATTTTTTCTCTTACAAATTTGATTTGTTCTATATACTTTTCACATAAAACATTTTCTGAAAAAAAATAAGGATTCCACATGTTATGAGGCAATTGTAAGTATTCTGTTAAAAAGAATGAGACAAGTCTGTTTAAAACGTTTTTCAAGAGTAGCTGTTTTTTTAGTAAAATGAAGTACAGTAACCTTATGGTAATACAGTGAGTTTTGTCATTGTTAGGTCTTGGGATTTGTACTGAAAGTACTCAGTTGGCCATGATGTGGAGAAATGGAAGTAACTACACAATAAAGGGAAACGGTCCTTTCACTTGGCTAATGATTAAGGATAAAGTATATTATCTGATTGTAGTTTTGAAATTATATCTGTTATGCTACTTTAGTGCCATATAAGTTTAAATAAAAAGAGATTTGCAAAGTAATAGTTAGTTGCATGTACGCAATAAGTTTAAAAATTTGTTTCTTGCAACATGAAGAAAGTTACTTGATAATCTGTCCATATCTCTTTTGTTAAATACTTGGGATATTTTAGAAGATGCAATTATATGTTACTTTTTAAAGCCTTTCACAGGCCTGAATTCTTGGAGTGTTTTAAATAAACATAAAGAAGAATTGGGGAAACATTAATGTGAAATAATCAAGAGTCAAGTAAATGGGAAATATTTTTTTTTGATATATCTTTATTTTTATACAAAATATATACAATACATATGTATACACTAGTTAGTTGAGGTATTTATATTTTCTCTCGCATCAATTATTTCTTATTTATACACTCATATTTACAAAAGAAAATAATTTTCAAAAAATGTACAGTTCAATTTTAAAAATCTAAGAACATTTAATATTTTATTCATGTTATTTTTTTTCTTTCAAAAATGAAAGAATTTTTAAATAATGTCAATTTATTTATTTCTGATAAACATTATAAAATATTCAGATTATGATAAAACATTTATATAAAAATATAGAATAAAGGATTATTCCGCATATTATTTGTAAGATTCAAACATATTTTGAAATTAACTTATTAGTTGTCGAATGATGTTTCACATTCCAAATTGTGTAATTGTATAAGGTTATTTTTCAAATTAAATTTAAAAGATCTCAGTATTGAAATGCAGACAATATTCCAATCTGATAGCATTTGAAAATTATACAAAAGTTCAAAACAAATTATACACATTTATCCGGATTAAATTTCCATGTTCCATTCCTGAAGTTCATTGGTGTTTTCACTAACATAAATATTTTTTAAGAAACTTCGGCTTGCATTTGTTTTCCTTCTTCTTGAAGTCTGAAAAAATAATGAAGAATTAACATTAATGCTCTTGTAAGAAATTAAATACAATATATGAAATCATGAACATAAAGTTCATATTAGTAATGGTGCATCACAATTTTTTCTTTGCTAAAAATAATCAAAATTACAATTCTATGTAGTATCTTTTGCAAAATCACCTAAACTCCGACAATGTGAAATATGGCACTAGGAATATAATTTTGACAAGAGCACCTAAGCAAAGGGACTCTGGGAATCTAACGTGCCGAATAATCATACGACATGGTCGGAACGCTATCAATTTTTCACATCATGAAAATCCACGGACTTGACCCAGGGGAACTTGGGCTTACTAGGCCAGTGCCAAACCAACTACGCCACTCAGTCGGCTTGCCTGTTAAAGTTGAATTGTAGATTAAAGTCTTGATCCGCCAAACATCTGTGACCAATGTAGCCGAGTGATCATGACCGCTGTAGTTTCTGTCGAATCGTGAATTTGATTCTTTGTGATGCAAAAGACCAGCCTTGTAGTGGAACCGATGCATATTAAATTTGTCAAGGCTCAAAGTTCTCACGCAAGCGGGATGTAGAAAGGAGAAAGCAATCCCAGTTCAGGTGTCTTAGTCATCATTTAACACAGGGTTCGGCATTATAAGATCTGTCGCCATTAGTCCTTGTGTGGTTTCAGAGTGCGACGTTAAAATAATCAATACACCAAACATCTACCTTACGGACCAATGAAGGCGGGTTTTAGTAATTACCACTCGGCCGTGATAAACGAGTGGTCATGGTCGCGAACTCGTGGTCGGCGTTGTCGAGTTCTGGTGCCAACATAGGGGTTGATGCGCGTTAAATTGGATGAGGTTCAAAGTCAGGGGCGTAGCTACCGCCGTATCAATGATACTGGGCCCCAAGCTTCAGGGATGTGCAAGAATAAATCATAAAATGTTTAGAGCCCACCAAAAAGGGCCTCCAAGGAATTTTGATACGGGGCCCACTCAGGGCTAGCTACGCCAGTACTCAAAGTCCTCTCTTTGTCGTGGTGGGGAAGCTTATAGAATGGTGCCAGCTTAGAGAGAGAGGTATTGTTCTCGTCATTTGAGCCGAACGCCACCCATGTTTAAAATTAGGAAGCCTGTCTAATATCCTCAGTGTAGCTCTAGAATGCGATATTAATATGGACAAGTAATATATATAAAAGAAAAATTAAGTCGATTCCTATTAAGTCAACAAAGAAAAATTTTATTTTAGTTACTTTTTGTTAAAGTTACAATTCGTATAAATATGTTTATACATATGACAGAATCAATATTAAGTGACAAAATAGAAAGCGATTTTTCATGCTATTTTCCTTTCTATGTAGGGTATTGGCCAATTTTTTTATACTATTTATTCATTAATTAAATTTAATTGTTCTAATAAAATAGCATAGCAAAAAAGAAATCACATTCTCAGAAATTAGGCCATCCCAGATGGGATTCGCGAACCCACGACTTTTGAATTAGAAGACCAACCCGCTATCCATTGTGCTACAGGGACACAAAGAACGATTTTCCTTTCTACATATGCTATTGGACTAGTAATTTTGTTTGTTACTATTTATTCATTTTTTAATTTAATAAATGAATTAACATTTGAAAAAACTGTATTAACATCAAGGTCTGTGTCATCCACTACAAGTTTAAAAAACTTTATTTAAACTTGAATGGATGAATAGAAAGTATATTAACGATTGAAAAATTGAAGAATTTTTTATGTATAGGGAGAGAGTGAGAACTAATAGTAGGAATTGAAAAAAAAATCGCAAATCCAGTCACATTACATTAGGATTTTGAAGCCTCCGCTCTACCCATTATTCTGCGCGACGGGAGGAATTAGGACTCTGCTCATTCATTTCTGGAAACGAACATCAAAATTACCACAGCACTGTAGAGAAAAACAGGAGCAAAGAAATAAGGATTTAATTTTAGAGAACACTTACAAAAATTAGAATTTGTTTCATGCTTAAAAAAGTTTAGCATTAAGTGTGTGTACTTTCTCTTTCTCTTGATTTTTTAAAAATAAAACCATTACTTTTATGCATTCAAAAGGAAACATATATATTTGAACGCATGAAATGTTTAACTTATTTTTTAAATATTTTTTACCTGGGGAATCGTCTTAATGTAGAAAAGGTCCGTGGGATTAAAGTGTAGGTTCTTCTGGATTAAATTATAATTTATTCTAGAATTATCCAATATTACAACAAACTTAACCAACAAGAATCAATTAACACACATAAAATTCGCAATAATGCATGTAAAATCCATAATAGCACAAATTCATAGCTCATACTGCAATATAATGCGTCAATCATAATATCACGTTAAGTCAACGTAAACGCATAGTCACTGTCAAGCTTTGACTCTCCTGTTGCTTCACTTCATCTTCCTTATATAGACTGAAAAAACTCTTATAGCTGCTTATAGATCTCTCTTACCCTAGGCTTTTCTGGATTTTTCCAAATATATTCGTTTGTCCCCAAATTGTTCATCAAAGTCCCTCCCCTGCATTAACTAACAGTAAAAAAATGCTCTTTCTTGAGCAATGAGCCCCAAATGATCTTTCTTGTCACAATACTATTTCGGGAGAAAAAAAGAGCCCACAAAATTTTCTTAATATTATGCTCAGAGTTAGCACTTTTCGTCAAAGTAAATTTTAATTTATTCATGATTTATTTCTGCAATACAAAATTATATTAAAGATATAATTATATATATATTAAAGATTATATATATTTATTTTTAAAGAGCTCGAGAGACTCAAAACCATATATTATTATTACAATATGATATCAAGCTTTTCTTTAATTAAAAATTTCTTACCCTGGCAATCTATAAGGATTGGGTACTACATCGAAAGGTACAGGACGATAACTCTTACTGGGTGAGTAAGGTTGAACAAAAGCTACTTGGAAACTAGGGGGCTGCCGAGGATGGCCTATACCCGAATTCTTTGTTGGCAGGCACTCCATTCTTAGCGTGATTCTTGGCGCTGGAGGAATCTGAATACGAGTAAGAAGATGTGGAAGACGATTCTGAGCAAGTGGAGGGGCTGCTTTCACGGTGGCTGTAGGACGAGTCTCGACTGCCAGCTTCACCTCTCCTGAAATAGAAATGGACAGACATAAAGCAATTCGTATTAAACAACAAATCTGCATAACCAAATGTCAAATGTGGAAAATGAATGCAATCGTATAGTCAAGATGAAAAATTATGTTTCAAATTAAAATACTTATTTATTTGACACTGGCGTAGCTAGTCCTGTGTGGGCTCTGTATCAAAATGTTTTAGGGGCCTTTTTTTAAATAAAGAACTCTGTTAATGAAGTTATTGACGGTTTACAACTTTTTGCTAACACATTCTGGGGCCTCTATAGCTCGGGGGTCAAATATCATTGATAGGGCGGTAGCTACGCTTCTGTTATTTGATGCCATTTTTAAGATTTCGCATAAAATTCTTGCTTCGCAGAAACATTTGTGCGTGACAGAGGTCAGTGATCTTTCTTGTATCAGGGTTAAATAAAAATAGGTAATTGTGATGATAGATTCTTAATAGTTCATTTTTTTCCTGCCAAAGATAAAGTGAAACTCACACACACAACAATTATCTACAACAAGGGTCGGGAATCTTGAAGCTGGGGTGTGTCAAACTAATGTACTAATATTATTCAGGGTGCCACACAACAGGGAATATTTGACGAACCGAACGAAAGGAAAGAAAATGTTTGAGGTGCAGAGAGAAGAGACCACAGGGTAGTTAAACTTAATTTGTGAATCTTGTTAAGTGGTGTAGAGAGTGCCACTGAAAAATAGTATTGCGTGCCATAGGTTGCTGAAGCCTGATCTACACATTAACTTTTTTGGATGAAACATTATCCCAAAGTTTTTTATGTATAGAAAAAGATTATACATAAAATTGCAAGAGTACCAATATCTAGACACATACTATATATATATATATCAATATATTTTCATCAATAAATTTATTACAAATATATATAAATGAGTTTTTGATTTCATATGAACAATACGTTGAATGGATCTTTTTAGATTTGCCTATTTTGGTTCTTTTCATACACTAACATAATTAAGAAATCTATTTTTTTAACACGTATATTTTACTCATGAATCCTTATTACTACAAATGAAAACTTACTGTGCATTTTTAAGGTGTCTCTCTTCTTTCCTGACAATATCCATAAGCTGTTTGTAAATGTTAGTCTTCCTCCTCTCTTTCTTAGGAGGAGCGGGAGTCGGGGAAGAACTCACATCTCCGTCATTAGCTGGATCAGATGCAGTCAGGTGACCATCTGGGCTACTTCCAGACTGATTTTTAAGTCCATCCAGTCCCATTTTCTGCTGTTTCTGTAACCACGTGTCCACCACACCACTCGATTGCACCCACGCGCCGGAGTCGGGGGAGCTCATGACAGATGACAGAGACAGCCGACCTGGAAAAATGTTTGGCAACTGTTGATGACACTATAAACAACTATTTGAAAATATTTTGATTGAAAAACATGAATTCTATTTTGACGAACTCATGTAAGTTAAAAAGGTTAGTTTTCAAGCATAGAATCACTACCCTTCTTTCTTGTCACCTTAATTCTTAAGAACGCTCTGACGACATGGACGAATCAGTGTTAGTGCATCTCCTTGCGAACAGAAGATTTTGACTTGCTACGGAGTTTGATACTTCAGTGCATTTAACAAGCTGTATTATCTAGTGTTTAACATGGTGTTCTTTATGGAAGCTACGAAACATTCTTTTTTTCACCCTTTTTACGCAGTCCGATTCGCTAGTGAAAAAAATTTGGGTCACCAAATGAACAAAATAGAGGACTATTAAAAATAACGGACCTATTTTGTGGAGAATCCAGTATTTGCCTAATTAGAGTCAAAACTTCAGATATTTGTAATCTTTAAGGATCTGAAAGAAGACTCCTAATTCTATATTGCAAGTAAGAGTCTCGCATAATAATGGATATTTTTTAATTAATTATTGTTTTAAATAATCTAACTGTATATGTGGTCACGAGCTGGTGGTCAGTCACTGATGACCTAAATCGCTTCTGTAGAATTGTGGGTTTGAATCTGTTACTGAAGACCTGCTGTGTAATCTATGTTAAATCCATCGAGGCTCAAAGTCCTCCTGTTTGCGTTGTATGGAAGCCATGTGAGTGGGTTACTCGCTCAAGTGTCGTCCTCATTATTTGATTGTGGCTCAAAATTCAAAGTGAGATGTTAATAAAAAAACTCATATCAGGTCTAACTGATTTGCAAGATAGATACTATAAATTATATCTGTTTTATATAAAAAATTTAATAGCTGCAACTTTTTCTATAGGATGAAATGCATAATGGTGCACGTCTGCCTTTATTCTGTTGTGTATGAGTGATATCAGCTCCTTTGAATACTATAATACCTTTGTCCTTTATTTAGATCAAGAAGTACTACATCAAACATATGCTTATTAATGCACGAGGAATTTTCAACGTGCGAATGTTTTGGAATGAAATGCTATATTATGAGGTATAGTAATGCTCAGTAATTAAAACGTCAAGCTTTATGGAACTTAAGTAGTCGAACGTTATTGCGATTATTGAGAAGCAATGAGGGCAAATACACTTTAAAAAAGACATCCAATCCCCCCCCATAAATAAGATTCATAGCGTGAATAGCTATTGATATACTCTCTATGTAGCAATACATTAAGATAGCGTGTTTCAAGTAGCTCTTTTTTATGACTTGAAAATCTTCGAGATACAAAATATTAACACAAGAAACTGTCCCCCCCCCTTTTTTTACATTATATAGCTTATTATTTGTTGGGTCATGAACTGAAGCTGCGCCAGCGCATTTAATTCTTTTCATTTGTCACACGTTTCTGTTAATCTAAAGTATCTGACAACAGATTTGTTCTGTTTTGATTACTTGCGGTATGTTATTTTTATTGGAATCTATTCGTGAAATTAAGTGAGGTATGTTGAAACTTTGTTCTTATGAAATTCTTAATGCTACAATTCTTATTCTGTCAAAATTCTATTCTTAATGATTTATTCAAAAACTATTAACTCCTGTTCTTAGATTCGTTAGATCAACATTTTTTAACTAGACAGTCCGCTAATTCTGTTTAAATTCGAATCTGTATCCACAGTATTTATTAATTTAGAATCCTACCTTTTTGTAAACAGTAAGAAAGGGAATTCAAATGTTTGAGGTTATAATGAAAATAATTTAACAATTTTAGCAAACTAAGACTTAGATATATCTCAATGTTATCTCAGTGCAACATATTTTAGGAAATTTTGAGAATTATAGCCGTAAGCATTAATGAAATTGATTTTTATAAAAAAACATGTACAGTTTCAATGCATGATGAAAATCTAACAAATATTTCGTAACAGGTTCTTTTGGTAAATGTATTTAAGGTGTTTACAAATTACACAGGTAAAAGCAGATATTGACAACCTTTGTAGTAAAATGCTAATGATGAAC